TTTTTTTTTTTTTTTTATCAACTAGTACATTATTTCTATACACCAGTAAGAGGCTGCTGTTGACTCATAGGTTTCAAACTTCAGTGGCTGAGCGCTGTTTTTCAGGCATGTACACTCATGCCATGTTTTTACTCCTTGCTTTTGCTGCTTACCTGTCACCAAGGACAATGTCAGATTCCACCAGCTCTCCCGTCACTACCACGGCTTCTTTAGAAGACTTAGCCCAGCTGCAACAATATATTCAGTTCCAAATTTAGGTAGCAGGGATAAGCATGGAGGTGTGTGGTCACAACCCTAACGCTCAGGAGGTGGAGGGGAGGAGTGTGTGTCTGGGGTCGTTCTGTTACATGCTGGGGTCATGCCTCAAATATAAACAGTGAATAAATATGACGCTGTCATCTTAGAGGCTCTAAACTCATTCACTCTCTGCTTCGTGTCGTCCCACAGAGCCTCTAAGGTGAACTGAGTCCCGGGGTATTAAGTTTAGAAGACAGCTTAGAGCTGTCAAACTTAAACCCCTCGTGTTTCTAAGGAGAAAATCAAACCCTAGAAGCTGGCAGGGCACTCAGCTTACTTGTTTTAAGACTTAGTTGGATAATCTCTCTCTCTCTCTCCCTCTGCTGTGTTGACTTACCATGTTGTTTCATCATCCCTCAAGAACAACATCATCAGTTATGAGATTCCTCTGAGGTTCCCAGTCAAGTCTAGTGTCCTAAGGAACCTAAACAAACATTTGTGCTTATGTCTGAGACCTCCTATTAAAACCTTATATAGAAAACAAGTAAAAGCTTTCTTTTTTCCTTCCTAAAATAACTTGATATATATATATTTTAGAACTTGATCTTCAAATGCTACCAGACAATCCAAGTAGAATCTAAAGCCTTAGGGAGAAGAACGTGATTCCTTACCCGGGAAGATATCTGGTCCTTTTAGAGAGATGAGGAGCGTCACTGTGTATAAAGTCTTTTTGTAAGAGCATGCTGACTGGCTTTTCTTAAGGTTTCATTTCCTGCCTAAATGTACTCTTTATAAAGAACAAATTGTGACCTCACTTGAGAGAACAAGTAAAAAAAAATCTTTTATAAAAAAATCAAACACCAAAATTCATATTCATACACGATTGATGCCTGTGCCCATTTGCTGGCATTTATTGAAAACCTCGACTTTGGTATGTAGCAACATGCTTGTCTGTAAAGCCCTAGAAATAATCATAACATAGACAACCCAAGCGCATAACTCTGAGCCATGAGTGGTTTTCTATGTGTTCACATGTCTAGCCTCATCCTGTTCACTCTTTGTGTGAATTACAGCACAGTTACAGTCTAGCCACAGGTTCCTGTCCAACCTGAACTAACATGGAGCGATCTGTAGTCTAGAGGAGACACTAACCACAAGACCCTGGACTTCACAGGATCCATAAGACATTTTGGCGACCTTCCCATATATACCCTAAAATCAGCTCGCTGGGAGAGGTGTGACAGCTGCTTCAGGATATTGGGCTTTAAGACTGCTTGCTGTAGTTCGGAAATCCTCGAGGCTAGCACAGGAGCACAGAGTAGCCCACGCGTGGTCTTTAGGCCCCTGAAGAAAGGTGTTAGTGACTAAACGCTGATTCCTGGGTCCTAGAAGAAGCAGGCAAGCGGGGCCAACTCTCACTTGTGATTTTCTTTTCCGACAGGAAACTCTCTTTTCACCTCAGTCCCAGCACCCAGCCCCACAAAGGCTTCTCACACGCCTTGTGAAGCTGGCCCCCCTCTCCCTCCCTCCCCGGTGAGTATAGATTGTGCTTTATATATGTTCTTTATACTGCGACTCGCACTTTAACTTTCCTGTATGCTAAACTGCTCTCCCAAAAGACGTTCACTTACTATTTTTAAACATATTTACAAAATGTAAGTGTGGTCCTTTTACACTTAAAGACTTAACTGGTCAGTTAAACACTTAACTAGGATTTGGCAACAGTGATGGGATCTGGGGAACCAAGGGATGAATTGCTGTGTGTGGTGAGCAAAAGAGCAATTGAGAGGTGGGCTGCTAGTTGTATTGCTTTTATTACAAACTTGATCTTAGCCTCTCGTTAGACTCTTTTTTTTATGATGTGCTTTTCCCCTTCTCTTTGGGGTTCTCCTTTAAGTGTGTACTTCATGCAATGTTCTGAAACAGGTTGGTGGTGATAATGGAGGGGATTGGGGGTTGGGATTAGTAACAGCGACACAAAGCCTCACGAGCGCCCCCTGCTGCTTCTTGGCTGACTATACAAATACTTGAGATCGGAATTCGCAGAAGCATCCATTCCAAAGGCTGCTACAAGATGATAATCAATCCTCACTCAGAAAGGCAAACGGGACTGGATGGAGGGACATCTGAAGAAGGAGAAAACAGGGAACAGAAGAGTAGCCTACCACAGAGGGCCTCTGAAAGACTCTACTCAGCAGGGTGTCAAAGCAGATGCTGAGATTCATAACCAAACTTTGGGTAGAGTGCAGGAAATCTTATGAAAGAAGGGGGAGACAGAAAGACCTGGAGGGGACAGGCGCTCCACAAGGAGAGCAACAGAACCAAAAATCTGGGCTCAGAAGTCTTTTCTGAGACTGATACTCCAAACAAGGATCATTCATGGAGATAGCCTAGAACCCATGCACAGATGCAGCCCATGGCAGCTAAGTCTCCAAGTGGATTCCCTAGTAAGGGGAACAGGGACTGTCTCTGACATGAACTCAGTGGCCTGATCTTTGATCACCTCCATCAAAGGTGGGGGGGAGGGGAGGAGCCTTACCAGGCCACAGAGGAAGACAATGCAGCCATTCCTGATGAGATCTGATAGGCTAGGGTCAGATGGAAGGGGAAGAGGACCTCCCCTATCAGTGGCCTGGGGGAGGGGCATGGGAGGAGAAGAGGGAGGGAAGATAGGATTGGGAGGGGACAGGGGATGAGGAAGGGGGCTACAGCTGAGATACAAAGTGAATAAACTGTAATAAATAAATAAGCCCCTTGGGGAAAATTGTATAGTAATATGGAATAAGCAAAAATTCATGCTAAATTTATATCATTTCTCATAATGTATGTGAAAGGCAGCTACAGAAACCCATGTGGGTTTGCTTGATCTAAGCGGTAGATTCCTTCATTGTGGAAGGCTTATAGACTCAGAGGGGAACGGGGAGTCTCAGCGTTTGATCTGAACTATTGCTTAAATAAATTGCTGGTAAGGAATGAAGTCAAACAAATTCATCAGATCTGAAGTGGAATGACTAAGGTCTAGACTAAGGTCTAGAAGGTGTGTTTTTAGTCACTTAAATTTACTGTAAAAAGTTATAAAAGAGTAATATATATATATATCAAATATTTCATTGTAGCATTTATGTTGTTTGTATATTTTCACACATCTTAGTTAAGATTAATTCAGATGCACGTTCCTCAATTTAGAGTTGAGTTTTCAGTAAAGTGACTAAATGTCACACAAAATCATCTTAATTAACCTATATTTTATATAACTGTACATTAATAGGGTGCCACACAAGATTACAAATTTAGGCCTTTAGAAGACATGCATTAGTCAGATACTAGTCATGAATATTGGCGTTCTCACCATTCGCCAGCTGTAGTGGCCATACTGGGAACACAATGGTGGTCAAAGCAGAGGTCTGGAGCAACAAGATGGTTCAGCAGGTGAAAGGAAGGTTGTTACCAGCAATGCAATGTCAATTCCTGGAATCCACGTGGAGGGAAGAGAGACATATTCTCAAGTCGCCCTCTTACCTGGACATATGCACCCATGTGCAAACACAAAACACACAATAATAAACAAAGTAAACTACATAAAAATAACAAAAAACAGAAGTGTCTACCTTTGTGTGTCTTACATTCTGTTAAGGAAGACATTTATGGCATTATACATAATACAGTATTCCATAGGTGTTAGATAGAACAAGTATACATAGTTAGATTTATATAACTGTACACAAGTATATATAGTTAGAAATTAGGAAGTATATCTTGACTATGACATCAAAAGCTCAAGTAATGAAAGAAAAAGATAGGCAAGAAATGCCATTAAAATTAAAATATTTGTATATCAAGGGCACTAGCAATAGAGTTAAAACAATTGGTAGAATAGAGAAAACACAAGTCATGTGTCTGGCTGAGGATTAATGTTTGGAATAGTAACAGACGTTTCTTCAATGATAGACAAGAGATGACTCAGTACAGGAAACATTCATTGAATGTTTATAAGCACGAGGGACATTCAAGGCCAACTGCATGAGGTATGAAATCCCACACACTAGAATCAACATTAAAAACAATGACAGAAAAAATACTCTTGGTGAGGATAGAGAGAAAATGGAATCCTGTCCGTTGCTCGTGGGAGTATAATATAATATATATGAGCCCCTGTGGAAAATGTAAGGATGGATCCTCAAAAAATGAAACACAGAAATTACTGTATAATCCCGCAAATCCACTTCTGGGTAAAAACTCAAATGATTGAGAGCAGGGGTATGAACTGTTGGTCATACGGCCAAAATGCACTTCATTCATTCTATCATTCAATAGATGACTAAATACACCCAGTGTACAATATACATATAATATTATTCAACCTTAAAAGGAAGTAAATTCTGATACACTCAGCACATAGAGGAGGACTGAAGATACCACACCAGTCACCAAAATTCAAATATTGATGGATCCACTTGAAGTACCTAGAATAGTCAAGTTTCTAGAGCTAGAAAGTGCAGTAGTGTTTATTGCTATCTAGTGGGAGAAAGGACACATATTACACATACAGAAACTGCTTCCAAAGTGGACATTCAATTCTGAAATGTCTATTTAGTGTTTAACATTGAATATTATACTGTTTCTTAACACTTTTATAATTGTCTCCATTTTCCTCACACCAAAATTCTTCATTCCTAAGACTTTAACAAAATTACTCATCTGTTTTAGCTCATAATATATATAAAATTGTTATTGAATTATAACAGAAGCACTAATAATAAGGACATGATGATCTTTAAAAAAAAAAAACAAAACCCGCACGTAAGCACTTACTGGCTACAGAGTTTCGCTCTGGAAAACAAGAAGCTTTCTGGAGAACAGTGAGGGCCTTGATGCAAAAATGTAATACCACAAAAGACGGAAGGGATGGTCAGGGACGTCTGCTTAGAGCCAACTGGAAAGACAGAAAAGGTTTTCAGACGAGCAAGACTAGGCCTAAACTGTATGCCAAAGATTCACTTGGATGCTAAAGATATTTTTCCGCTCCAGAAAAAGATGACTATAAAACAAAGATAGGAGTGTTTATTTAGGAGAGGGATATGTGGGTGGGGTGAGGCTGTGTGGGAGTAGGAATGTTCTGTTTTATTTGCTTTCTGTGGTTTCCTAGGTCTTCATTTTTGTTTGACTAATAAAAGATTACATATTTAAGCATGTAAATCTTACTTTGAAACATGGTCTCATGTCACCCAGGATGACCTTGAACTTCTGAACTTTCTGTCACTGTCTCCTTCGTGCTGGGATTAAGGAAATGTGCCTCCAGTGCCTGGTTTGTATGCAGTGACGAGGATCAAGTCATGACTCTGCAAGCACCTTGACAACAGCCCTGCAACCTAGGCCTCGAGTGTTGATTCTCAGCCACTTTACTATCTTAATTCTCTTGCCTGCTGTGCACAATCTTGTCGTACAACTCAGCAGTCCAATGTGCTTTATGTCCGATCGTTATTCTTAGGTATGCACAATTTACATCCCTAAAATTATATTTACTCATTTCCATGTCAAACATGAGCTTGATAAAGACTGATTGCAGTGGTTGTCTAAAGCCTTTAACCTGTGGCTCGGATGTGGGTTATGGTCACACCTATAGATGGTTCCTGCCATTCATTTCCAAGTTTAGAAATTGGTATTTGTGTGTGTGTGTGTGAAAGAGAGAGAGAGAGAGACTGCTGTTTTAATACAAAGAACAAGAGATTGCATTTTATGTATGTATAATGAGACATTCGGATGTCCAATGCTGAAGTCCTAGAGAACCACAGTTTCACACAAAGCAAAGCGGATTCCCATACTAAAACTAATCTAAGAAAGTGTAAGAATACTGTACAGAAGAAAGGGCAGAGAACTGACGAGTGACACACGCTAGCTCCAATTAACTCTCTTTGGTGACCTACCCATCGTCTTTAGATCAACTCTCTGAGTGAGTTAGCCATCGCCAGCAAAGCACAGGCACTAAAATCTACTGCAGGGCTATTGTGAGATAAATGGCGTGATGGTGGAGGACAGCCCCAAACAACAAGCTGGGCTGAGGACCACCAGGGACCATCACAGACGCTCTCGGCTCCTCCTTACGCTCAGCTCTGCCAAGTCCTCTCCCAAAAGTGTTTGTGCCGTGCAAATGCATCTCTGCAGAAATGTCTGTTGCCTCTGATCTCTTCTATGACTTTTTGTTTGTTTGTTTGCTTGTTTGTCTGTTTAGCCTTGGCTGTCCTGGAACTCACTCTGTAGACCAGGCTGGCCTCAGACTCACACAGATCTTCCTGCCTCTGCCTCCCGAGTGCTGGGATTAAAGGCGTGTGCCACCCAGGCCCAGCTGCTTCTATGACTCTTAAACCTAACCAGGATATTGTCTTCATTGGGTGATTGTTGACTCCAGCTCCAGCGTTTCCGCCTGCGTATACACTGGCTGAAAACCCGTGCACGCACACACACAGGGGGCTCTCCATAGCCTACACTGCTCAAAGCCCACAGGCGTGTAGGTGGATCTCCAACCTTAGCTGCAAAAAAACCCACAAACACACCCAGGTTCTGCTTTGCACCGTGCCAGCAGATAAAACTCGTTCCCTGCTCTGTGCTCAGAACCATTTCAGATCTAGATACAGGTGTCAGGACAAGACAGAAACGTCCATTCTGTGATTCAGTGGGGGAGGGGAGTGTAACATACAGGGACAGTGGGCTTGAAGCAGTTCGTTTCAGAATCAGACTTAATCCGCCGAGAGCCACAGCATTATGACCAGGACCAGCCATGGTGCTTTCTTGACTGTAGGCTAAATGACGCCTGACAGGAACGGGTATAAGAAGTGCGTGAAGTCCTGTGGGGACATTTGTTGTTTCACACAGGCACGGCTTTGCCAAGGACCACAAAGCCTCAAACACATGAAAGCGGCAAAGCCTTTGTCAAGTGAGCCCTCTGACAGTTCCGTGTGCAGATGGTGAAAGCGTGTAGAAAATGTCCATCATGCCTTTTTTCTGCCAGATGTTCACCAGCTGGAGGTTGCACTCCTACAGAGAGACTTTGACTATCAAGGGTAGTTGAACCTGCCCTCTTATTCTGCTGAATGCAAGAACCAGGCTTCCCTGTTTAAGGGGGAGGGATGTAGCCAGTGGTTCCCAACATATGGGTCTCAACGCCCTTTGAACAGCCTTTTACACAGCAGTCGCCTAAGACCATTGAACAGCATAGATTTTCACATTATGTCCATAACAGTAGCAAAACTACAGGTAAGGAGTTAGCAATGAAAATTATTTGATGTCGGGGAGTCACCGTAACATGAGGAACTGTACTAGAGACCTGCAGTGTTCGGAAGGTTGAGAGCCACTGCAACACCTTCCGGGTGCCGTGGATTATGGCTGTCCATGAGGACACCATACTTCAAAAAATACATATGGGTGTGCAAAAGCATGCACGCATGTACACACATGCAGTTCCCCTCCACACACACACACACACAGCAATGCATGCAACTAGTAGCAAGGCATTAGCGTGTCCCCAACACGGAGAATGGCAAACATCTGAGGTAGGGGACACACCAGCTACCCTGACCTGACCATTATGAGCTGCTACCTGCAGAGCTTTGGGCCTGACCTAACTAGGTCAACAGAAGAATGAAGAAAAGAACAGACACCTAGACACCCACGTAGAAAAGCTGGGGTCAGGTGGGCTCTGGGCTCTGATGGGGCCACACTAGCAGCCTGGAAACTCATAGGGCATACATACAGTTCGGTTCATTCATTATAAACCACTGACTGAGGAGGTGGGCTTATTGGACAGCTGAACAAAGAGGCATCCATTTAGCTCTTCTCAGGAGGAGGTCTCTGGCGGGGGGGGGGGGGGGGGGGGGTGACAGGCTCAGGTTGCAGTCCTCCGGCAAGAGGAAGCTGCGGTTGATAGTTACTGCAGTCGTTGGTTTTAGCTAAAGGTCAGTGGTTCCTTAACATCTGTACTTGAACCAGAGGAAGGCTTTGCCATTGCTTAGGTCTGAGGCACCATAGTTCTTGACATGGCTCAGCTCATGCAAATGATGCACACTCACTCAGGACTTCACTCACTCTTCTCAATTACGCATTGTGTAGGTGCACTCAAATGTCACGTTATGCTGTATAAGTACGTAAATTACTATGCATCAGTCGAAAATATTTAAAATATAAATGTTTCAAATGGTGGCCACAGCAACTGCCACGACTAATCACACAATGTATACATCTATTGAGATGCCATACAATATTTTGTATTCATGTAGATTTTTAATGTATAAAACATTTTTAAAAACATAGAAAAAAAATTTTTGAGACAGAGTTTTTCTGTGTAGCCCTGGATGTCCCAGACTTGCTCTATAGACCAGGCTGGCCAAAACCTCAGAGATTCACCTGCCTCTGCCTCTGAGTGAACTAAAGGGGTGTGCGACCCACCTCACCTGGTGAAAAAAAAAATATGTTTAAAGGATAATAAATAACACCCTTACCTTAGTAACAGCCACTACCAATCCTAGCTTAAAGGGAGACTGGCAGCCCAAAGATCGATTGTGAGATAGACTTAGAGATCCCTACCCTGCCTTCCCTAAACAAAGAAAAGAGTCGTTAAAAACTTCACTCTTTGAACAATTTGTTACTTATTTTGAGGTGAACCTAGGGTTCTGACACTTTGAGAGAGAGGAAGAAAAACAGGATAGCGTGTGGCTAACCTCTAGTATATCCTCAGGGTTGTCTAGAGCATTTTGTAGCAGTCTTGCTAGTTACTTTTGTGTCTCTGGGACCACAATAGAGGGCAGGAGCAACTTGAGAGAGGTAAGATTGATTTCAGCTCACTGTTGCAGAGGGCTCAGCAGGTCAAGGCAGAGGGGCAGGGCATGGCAGAGGTGCCTGAATCATGACCCTGTGAGTTTGTGGCTGAGGCTGTTCACATCCCAGCAGACTAGGACTAGAGAACATGAGAAGTGGGGGAGGTCACGGTATCCCAAAGACCTGCCCTCAGTAACCTACCTCCTTCAGCTAAGCTGGTCCCTGAGAGGTCCCACAGCCTTCCAAAATAAAGTGCTGTGTAAATTTAGAGACTGGCTTAAGACGCTATACTCTGAGTACCCAATGGAGCAGAAATAAGGGCCAAGTCTGGGTAGGTTTGGCCTGGGTAGCTATTCCACACAAAAGGACAGGATCCCTTGAATCTAGTTCCAAACCTGAATCGTGGATTTGCTATCTGTGCACTTGTCTGGGCCTACAGGAAGAGACAGCCATCTTATAACCAAGCAAGGCAGGCATTGTCTCCTACTGTCAGAACACAGTAGGTGGGAGAAATGGAGCAATTAACTATCCTGTCTTGTAACTTTCAGTGTGTCTGTAGATTACTTCTCAGATGCCTAGATGAATGTCTAATTACTTCCCGGTGATCCAGGAAAAGACTGCCGGTGAGAAACTAGGGAGGTTTTTGATTCAGAATCCTAACAGTTTCAGCTCTGCCAGGCAGTTTATTCATTCAGTCATTCCACAAGTCACCGATTGGGCTCCTAAGGCAAGGGCAATACACATACACAAGCTCCTTGGTGTGTGACTCTGTCCAGACATTCCTTGCCAGTTTCTAAGAATGCCCTACCAATTTCCCCAGTTGTTTCCTGCTGCGTGTTGTGGGTTACCTGAGTTGATGATGTGATGCTATCTATCTATCTATCTATCTATCTATCTATCTATCTATCTATCTAATCTATCTATCTGTCATCTATCTACCTATCATACAGCTATCTAACTTACTATTTATTCTTTTGCTTTGGCTTGCTATATTCTTCATAATCTCACTCATTCAAAACGTAAACAAGAGAAGTCCCTCTCTTTATGGACCTTTCGTTCCCCTTCCTTTCCTAGCATCTAGTGGCCCCGACCAGAGGGGCCCTCAGCATACGTGGGGCTGTCTTTGTTCAATAATGCTCGGAAGCACAAGTGAGCTCTGTATTACCATCCTTTCTGCCGGGTAGCAACTCTCTCGGCCTTGCGCAGCCACAGGACCGCCCAAAGCACCAGCCATGAGCTTTGTTCCTCAAGCCTCTGGAGGAAAAAAACCTTTGATTTCATGGGGATGATTATTTTTATTCTTGCCCACTCAAGGATGAAGCCCAAGGAACAAGAGGTTTCCCCTTTCAGAGGCATCACAATGGCTTACCTCCAGCCAAACCCACGGGTTTTTTTTTTTTTTTGTTTTTTGTTATTTCTGGGTTTGGTTGGGCCTCTCTTGGAAACCATTACTATACAACTTACTTATAGAAAGAGTAGAAGGGACTGGGCCTAACAAACTCAGACAGGGGAGGGGGAATAGAAATGGAGGGGGAGGTCTGGAGCACAGAAACTGGGGGGAATATGTCATCAGAGAAGAAAAGGCTGATGAGAGCACATTAATGTCACCATGCAATCTGAACTCATTCCATTTTGTGGGAACATTTTCAGTTTATTGCAAAGATGAAATATTCCATGACTGACTTTTGGAGAAGCCTAAAGAATTGGGATTTTGTATGAAATTTTCAGAAAAAAAAAAAAAAAAGATAACACACACACACACACACACACATGAAGAGAAAGGGAAGGGTGACTTTTATCCTAAAGTCATTGTAAATCCAAAGCAGGCTTTTATCCTCCACAGTTAAATACGAAGGAAAGAAAAAAAATCACGAATACCAACATTCGAGGTACAAAGACTGTCATGGACCAGTGGAAGTCTGCAAAATTATATGTAAATGACCTTTTTTTTTTTTTTTTCAAACTGTGGTGGCCCTATGCACTCCCAAAGCTAATCCTAAAGAGAAAATCTACTTAGCAAAAGAAAGTTTTGTCTAATTTGGTTAACAGTTGAGAAGTGACAAAAATGTTGAATATATTAATAATTTATATTTCCAGGGTAACACTATATCTTCAATGCTTCACTGCCAAGGGAATTGAGGTTGGCTTAACGCGGAGGTGGGGGGGACATTTGAAAGGCCTTCTTCCTGCTCTGTATCCAGCGCTGTTGAAAATGGGTGTAAGACATGTGTTGCAATAATGGGCGCCATCCATTCTCTTATTTCTGCATAATTTGTTTTTATTCCATATTGCCCTGTGTGCACTCGCTGCCCAGGGAGGCCTGCTCCTTCCCGACATGTGTGCAACCCCCAGCTCTTACCAGCTCAAAAAAGAAGAAGATAAAATAGTTCATATTTCGCTGATGAATCATTTCAAGAATCTGTTGCATGTAAGATCCTTACTGAAACGTACAGATCCACCACCTCTGGCCCCTCTATGTTTTCCATCGCAAGTTACAAGGCAGGGGCAATGCAGTGAACAGCTCTGACTGTTTGTTTGCCTCTGTGTAATGAAGTTTGATGGTTTACAAATTGCAGGTCATCCCATTCCTTGACCTTGATAAATAGAGTAGGTCAGGGCTCTCTTAAACCCTGTCTGAGAAAGGGAATAACTCAATTTACTGTTCTCCAGCTAGTCAGGGAGAAAAGTCGCTTCGCCCTCCTTCAGCTAAATGACTTTTACCACTGTAACATCAAATTATTTGTTTAAAGTGCACCAATATTAGCAGGACCGATTATTCAAAGGGAAAAAATATCAATGGTGAAAAAAAAAAAAGCAATCTCCACTATTTTAACTGGCGTGCGCCTTATTTTTCCCTGTTGATATGACACAACATGGAAGTCCATTTTGCTGTTTGGATTTTAGAAAAATGGGCGTGTGGTCTACTATCTTAACCATATCATTGTTTTACCGACAAAGCCCACATCCTCTGGAAGTGAAAACCAGGATTCCTCGGAAAATCAGTCTTCTGAAAAATCACAAATGCTTGAAAAATCACCAACCAAGCTTCCTCTAGACACAACCTTTCTCTCCAACGCTCTGCACGGAGAGAAATTTCAAATCAAAATTTCATCCTAGAGAAGGGCTAAACCTTTCCCCCCAGACTGGAGAACTCGGACAAAGGACCCAACTTTTGGATCCAGTGTAGGTGTCAACGGGAAGTCCCTGGGGGTGGGGCCTCTTCTTATCAGATATGTTCTGGCACCTGCCAGGGTCGCCTAGAGCCCTGCGGAGGGATTTGACTTGTGCGTAAAAGGCAAGGGCCCGGAATCCTCGGATTCAGTGATTGTCATCCGAAGAAAGAAAGCAAACCATGATTGTTGTTTCTAAGACATAACGTATTCTGTTACTTGCTCCATGCCCATTATTATTTTTTTATTATTATTATCCATTGAGGCTGTGAACTCAGCTACTCATTAGGCTGGCCTGGGGTTTGAGCTTTCCCAGACCAGTGCCTAGAAGTAGGAAGAGCCTCCCGGTTGCAGCTAGTCAAGGATGGCCCAAACCAGTTTCTGGGTTGTCTCTTGATTTGCACATTCTGAGCGCCTAAGGCCGGTTCCACCCTTCTGCGCTTCTCAAGGCAAACGGCTAGGGAAGAGAGGAGGGTGCAGGCTTGAGCGCCCGAGGAGCTTAGTCTCCCAACCCTAGGGGACACCTAATATCTACTTGAACTTCCGTTTAGCCTCCCTCTGCCTCGGGCTGGGCAAAGGTCCTCCTCAGCCAAAGTAATGAATGTCATCACCTGGGCTCCTAGCGGCCGTGCGTTTCCTTACAAGACACTTAGAGTGGATGGTTTGTGGATGAGCAAAAGGCAACAGAGGACTCCATTTCTAAGGTCTTTAGCACAAAATATTTATTGGTAAGGGAGGTCCTTCGGATAGGCCAACTGGCTCTTGGCTCGCTCCCGTCCAGTTTCTGTTGGCCCGTTATTTACACATGTACAGCATATACAGGTTGTGTTTCAAGCCGCCACCCAAATCGCCAAGTAATCCAGGCGCTGGGTGGGCGTCAGAGCACGGGAGGGTGTTGGGGCGCGTGCAGGTTGAGGGGGTTGGGATGAGTATGGCCGATCAGATTGAGGTAATGCCGGTCCAGGCCCTGCATCTGAGCCAAGAACGGGCTGTGCTGCTGCGCCGGGCCGGGGAGAGATACCGGCGGGCTGGACAAGTAAGGCAGGGCCGGGCTGCGGGCCGCGCCGTGCGACCAGGGGAATGACCCCGGGCTAGCGCCCTGCGGGAACACAGCGGCCTCGCCGGGGCCGTGGCCTGCCAACTCCGAGCCCGCCGGAGGCAGCGGATAGGAGAAATCCGGCTCCGGGAGGGAGAGCGACGGGAAGGCGGGCTCCGCGCCCAGGCGGGCCTTGGACTGCAGAAAGGCGAGGATGCGCGCGTACTTGCTGTCCTTGGTCTCCATCCGCTCCACCGTGGTGAGGTAGTGCACCAGGTTCTTCATGCACTCGTGGTAACCATAGTGGAAGTAGTTGGCGAATTCCGCTAAAAGCTCTGCTCGGGCGGGGGGCGCGGGGGAGGGGCAGGAAAGAGGGTAGGAAGAAGGAAAGGAAAAGAGAATGGACGCGTCCCCTCCTAGGAAGGGGCCTAGCATCTCTGTCGGCTCAGGGCTAGGTTCCCACTGGAGACTCGCATTCTCTCCTCAGCCCCCTCAGTAAGGCGTCTCCCTAAGACCCCGACCGCGTCACGGTCCCGCCACACCCCATCTCAGAGGAGCAGACGACCTGCTTCTTCAGCGGCTCCTCCCTGGCGCCAAGCAGGTGCATTCTCAGCCTCCAGGCTGCGCCCTGCTCTCGGCCTCTCCTCCCCGTCTCCGCCCCAGGCTCCAGGTTCCGGCGTGGCGCACGCTCCCTGCTCAGGTTTCCTGGGCCCGAACCGATGCCCACCTTTCTCCCTCCCCCGGGGGAAATCCGCCGAGTGCAGAGCTCTGAGGTACTGAACTGTCATCTCCAGAATCTCCGCCTTCTCCAGCTTGCCGGAACTCTGCAAAAAGGAGACGACAGGAACCTAGGGGCGGCCCGCCCACGGCCCACCCACGGGCCAGTGCTGGGCCGCACTGCTTTCCGGAAAGGAACTTGCCGGCGCCAGAGCAGCCGCCTGGGGCTTAGGTCCCCCGGGAGGGGACCCTTCCCTCAGGCCAGCCGCGTGCGCAGAGGCCCCGGGGGCGCCGTGGAGAGCGACGGTAGCGAGTTCTCAGCACCGCAAACGCTACCTGTTTGGCCAGGGCCATGGGCACTGTCTTGCCCAGCTCGTTCAGGCAGCGGTTGATGCGGTCCCTCCTCCGCTTCTCGATCACCTTATGAGAAACCGGGGTTCTCTGCAAGCACAGGAAGGTTTCACCTTTAGGACGCCCTTCCCCGAGGAGCCGTCCTGCGGGCTACAGAAGTTGGTCCACTCGCCAACCCGGAATGAGCCCGGCCCTGCCAAACCAGACCCCCCGCGCTCTCCCCCCCCCCCCCCCCCCCCCCCCCCCCCCCGCCCCCTGCACATCCCCGCCACTCCACCGAGCTGAGCGCCTGGGCTCTGGGAGGTGGCCGCCAGCCTCCTCGGGCGAGCCTCTCCTCAACGGAGGACTCTTCCCTTGTCTCGGTCTCTGTCCCCCTTTCCAAGTGGACTCCTCCACACTAGAAATCCCGTGTGGCCCACCGACACGGCCAAGTGGGCGGTTTGGGGGTGGGGGTGGGGGTGGGGGTGTCCCACTCCCTCCGTCCAGAGCGCAGGCACTCACTTTGCGTTCCCTGAGCCTGTCTGACATCCTGGTGCGTGTGCGCGCCCTGGGCCGGGGCGGTGGCGCGCGAGGCACTCGTCCACGTTCCGCGTCGTGTGCCTCTTGGAGGGTCCCAGGTGGACTGCAGCCTCCCAGGTCCGAGGGGGCTCCCTTTATAAAGCAGCCATGTAAGGAGCTGCGAGTGCATTCTCACGAGCTGAATTATTCCATAGGATTAGGGGTTCTGCGTTTGGAGCATGTATGCATTCAAGGTCAGTTTTTAAAGAAGCTAAGGGGGAGGGAAAAAAAAAAGTTTGCAGCCGAGGGGGGCAAGCCGGGGGCAGATCAGCTTTGTTAATCCACGTGGCTCTTCAAAGGACACGTGATCCGTCGGGGACTAACATTTGCATGGCAACAGCCAGCTCGGGGAAGAGGAGGCGAGGAGCTGGAGCTCGGCGGAGCGGCGGCGCAGGGCGCAGGGGCGCAGCGGCCGCGGGCACCGGGGGGCGCGAGGCCCATCACAAAACAGCGTCGCCTCCTTTCGTCCCACCGCTGAGCCTCGCGCGACCGCCTGTTTACAAATCCCAGCAAGCCCGCGGTCCCAGCGCCGAGTGCGTCTTAAAGCCTGTCCAGAGTCATTAAAGTAATTAAGTAAGCCTTTAATAGGCTGTTCCGCCGGGTTCAAGGGAGAGCTCCTGGAGACGGAGGCGCCCCGTTTGTTCCCAGGCTTTTCTCACACGACTTGGTGACACGTCCGTCTCTCCTCCCCACCCCACCCCCCCCTTTTTGTTTACACCGCTTTATTTGTCCGGACATCCCGGCAGGTGTGGGGCTGCGGCTGGCACACGAGGCTCCCGCCTCGCTCGGCCCCTCCCGCAGGCTTTTGGCACGCGACTCTCCCCCCGACTAGCCCCTGACCAAGGAGTCTGCTTTCTTTTCTCCCCCCCCCACCTCCTCCTGCTCCTCCCTCTTCGCGGGGGGGGGGGGAGGAGGGAGGGAGAGGCTCAATTTGTAGCCTATTATCCTATAAGAAAATGTCCTTTGAAAAGTATGAATAGTTTCATTGGGTTCAATTTTAATAATGCCGGGCGTGGAGTGGAGGGGAGACGGCCGTGTGTGTGTGTGTGTGTGTGTGTGTGTGTGTGTGTGTGGTGGGGGGATGGACGACAACACAGAGGAGAGTGGGCCGAGAAGAAAAGGGGGAATGCAGCTGGCCCAGGCGAGCATTATGCGACGTCACCTGCGTTGAGGGGGCGCCCACAGACCCCTATTCATTTGCCTAATTTTGGTCAATTTAACAAACTTCAGGAGAAATTATTGTGGCTTTGTCAGGGAGGGTGAAGCCTTCTGATCGAATTAACAGCATGTTTTGATCCGGTAAATGTCATTAGAAAGGGAGAAACAATCGCGCTTAGAGGGCTCTGGGTAATGCGCCCAAGTGGAGACGCCAAAGCGCACGGCTCACAAAGGGAGCAAGTAGCTGCCACAGCGAACTTTTGTACCCGCCCATCGCCCAAGTTTTGACACAAAAAGGCATTATTTCATACTTGAATACGTTTAATCCAACGATTGTCTATTTTTTGCAAACATATTTTCACAGCATTGTTAACTTTTTATGTCCCCCTCTCGCGGGCGCCTTTTCTTAACGTTTGGGGGCGGGAGAGCGCAGACACTTTGGGCATCAATATTTGTCACTGAAAAGGGCCCCGTGAAGTTAGGGAAGTTGATCTCTTTTTTATGGTTTTAGAAAGCGAGATATCGGGGGAGGAGCAGGAGGGAGGAAAGAGATGGACAGAAACCCAGAAGGAAATGAGCTGGACCGGCGCAAAGGGAAGGAGGGGGTGGAGGCCCTGGGAACTCTCTCCGCCCGCTGCGCCTTTGCCTGAGTCTGCATGCACGGCCGCGGGCCCAGGCCCCCAGCCGCCGAGCTCCGCCACGGGGCGTGTGTGGCGGTGGTGGGGGATGAGCTTCCCTGCAGATAAAAATGATCTTTGTTTTGTGACTTCTTTCAGGCTCACCGAGTTCTCACCTGTCCCCAACCTTTCCCATCCGGGAACAAGGAAAACCTCCCTCTAGGCGTCTCTCCAGTCCTTTTGCCCCACACCGCGGAGAAAAGCCTCCCTGCTTTGCTAGACGACCCGCAGGCCCCGAGGCTTATCCCTTTGGGTGGTGCCAGGCCCTGCCAGAGGTGGGTAGGGTGGGTCCCCGCTCGGCGGCAGCACCTGTGAGCTCCAGGGCGCAGAGCCAGACGGGAGGCGCAGGACCTCTGGGATGCAGCCGCCAGCAACCTGCTGCCTGGGGGGTGTGGGAATCGCTCTGTGCCGAGCACGCTGGGGTGCCCCAGTCTTGCCTGCAGTTTTGCTGTTTGTTTGGTTGGTTGGTTTTGTTTTTACTTCGCGCCAGGTTGGACACCTACTTGCAGGTTGCTTTGCCAGCCGCGTGCTCTCTTAGGAGTGGTGTGGTTCTCAGTAGATTCACCCGCACACAAAAGGATTAAACAGGAGCCCTTGCGTCCAGATCAGCTAAAGGGAATGAGTAAAAGGGAGCGCGCACTTCTCACCCCCCCCTTTTTTTTTTTTTTTTTTTTTTTTTTTTTTTTTTTTTGCCAGCCGACGCGGAGTTGATCCTCTTACCGCTGGTGTTAACTCCAGCTGCAGGCACGTTCCTCAAGCCCAATCTCACTCCATGCAAACTGTTTAATTTTCCAGGGGCTGTTTGCCCAGAACCGAAGTTTCTTCTTCGGGTGGCTGAGCTGGGCTGGGGTGGATGGGTGCAGCCCAGAGCACAGGGCGCAGGCTTGCCCTGTGGTTGCTCCTCCCTGGGAGATCCCATCGTCTCTTCTCCTTCTGACTGGGGAACAGGCGCTTCCACTTATGCTCTTCCACGTCTGAACCACAGTCCTGGAGAAAAGAAAAACAAAACAACAACAACCCGGTGCCTTTCTAGGCGTTGCTTTTACTCTCTATCTTTGGGGTGCTGGCCAAGGCCCCCTGAATCTTGAGGTTGTTTCTACTAAAAAAATGAGAGCCAAGTGGGGAGCAGTAGCGTCTCGGCAGCCAAAGAGCCTGTTCACACACCGGCTACACGCCTGCCCTCAGAGCCAGATACCAAGAAAGATAAAGAGTATCGGCTGTGCCTCAGTTTTCCTCTTCTGTAAAATGGAGATAACATAGTGTCCATCATGCTAGCAGGCTGTCACCGCGGTAAAACAAGAGAATGGAGACAAGACTCTCAAGGAGTTCTAAGTACTCCTTTTTTTTTTTTTTTTTTTTTTTTTTTTTTTTTTTTTTTTTTTTGGCCAGCAGCATTCTTTTTGTGGTGGCTTTTCTATTTTATTGGAACTATGGGAATTTCCCTGTTAAAAGAACTTCCACTCACTTCATAGTGGACTTTTTCTTTTCCTCCTTCTCCTCTCCCTCTTCCTCCTCCATCTTCAAAAGCATTGCTCTCCCTGGAAAAGTCAGACCTTTCCTGAATGAAGCCTGTTAAAATTAACCCAAATTAGGTAAATGAAGTGGGGAGGGGGCGTTGGGTTCCCCTTTCAAGCGGACATCACCCAGTGCTCTCTGGCCAGCTCTTCCGGTGTGAAGACTGGGTTAGGGGAGGAGCTCCAAGACTAGCAACCTGTCCACATAGTCGTTCAGAAATGAGCTAGTGATCCAGTCGAGTGGCATGGACACCTGCAGAAGGCAAGACAGCAGAGGAGTTGGTCAAAGGACCCGGCGGCGGTTAGGGAGAAGTAATAAAGGTTAAAGAGCTCTGTTAATGTGCAGTGCAGGGTGTTAATGTGCTTCAGGATGATGTATTTTACATTTGAAAATATTAGGGCAATGGTTCCCAAACTGTGGGCCATGGCGCCTTTGGGGGTCAAACAGCCCTTTCACAGGAGTTGCCTAAGAACAGCAGAAAGGGTAGGGTTCCGGCACTGGGAAGGTTGAGCACCGCTGCACTAGGAGATTGCACCTTAAATGTTCACGTCACAAAATTCCAGCCGGGTGAGGCGATGCGTTGTTAGTCACGTGGACTGCACAGAGTCAGCGTCGACCCACTGTATCCAGGGTACTGTAGCCAACTGTGGGGCAGGTTAAAGGTGGCGGGAGAGGAACGCCTCTGGAGCATGACTGGAGCCGTATCCGGAGGGTGGTTACTCCAAAACAATCTAATTTAGCATCCGTCCACGCAGCATTGGGTAGTCTAAGTAGAGTCCCAGTACTGAGTGGTGCAAGTAACCTAGGGATGATTTAAAGCATACAGGGGGTGAGGAAAGAGGCCAGCAAGAGGGAGGGAGACAGGAGGGATGACAGAAGGCAGGGAGTGGAGGGGGAGGAACAAGAACAAAATCCGTATGAAATCCGTATGAAAATGTCATAATGAAATCCGGTACACTTTTTAAAGTGCTAACTTTAAAAAGTAAACAAACAAACAAACAAACAAAAACACAAAAAGTAGGGCAGAGAATGTAGCTCAGCTGGTAGAATGCTTGCACAGTAGGCAGGAAGCCCTGGATTTTATCCCCAACGCCACACAAATGGTGCAAAGTGCACAAGCCTGTAATCCCAGAAGTCAGATGTGAAAGCAGGAGGACCGGAAGTTCAAAATCATCCTCAGCTACATAGGGAGCTTGAGGCCAGTGTAGGATACTTAAGATCCTAACACACACACACACACACGAAATACTAAAATAGGCACCAGATATACAAATACTATGTGTTTTTGTGTAAGAGGAGTTAGCATGCATGGATTTTGGTTTCTAAGGTACCCTGGAACTAATGCTCCATGGATATTGAGAGACACAATGTCTTGCTTGTCATGGTCTATTTGTGATTTGTTTCCAAGAGTCGATAGGATCGGAGAGTTGCTCCTCAAGGTGATGAAATAAGGTGAGGATGGGACCTTTAAGAAGCGTAGCTTGGTGGGAGGTCACGTGGTCATTGGAGGTGTGCACAGTAGCTCTCAAAGTGTCCCTTAGCCATTTGAGGAGAGAGTTGCTGTGAAAGCTGAGCTTCTCCTCACTCAGCTCTGCTTGCTGCATCTAATTGCTATCTGTT